CAAGACAGTGTTCCTTGAAACTTCTATGCTAGGGCTTGGACAGAGCAGGCATTGCAAAATCATCTCCTGAATGGACACAACGTCCATTTCTCCTCACCCAGTCCCGCCTCCTTCATTATGGGGTCACATCTCCTGCATAAAGATTTTTAAGAGAGGAATGGGAGAGGGAGCAAGCTCCTGGTGACCTAGGAGCCTCCCACTCCCCACAGCCCAAGTCCAGCCTCAGATGTTTTTCTGGACAAAAGGGCCCTTTTGCTTCCCCTCTCCAGAACCAGTCACACAAATATTTTTAATCACCTCTGAAATCTGCCTTTCCCTGGCTCAGCCACCCAGCCCCCAGCTCTGGTCTGAGTCAGTCTAGTCCAGCTCCAGAACCGACTGCCCATCTCACTCCAGGGGGAGCAGAGAGGCCTCCAGGGTTGGAGGGCGGAGGCCCAGCCAGCCCTGACTGGTTTTACCCAGCAACAGGTGAGGCAGCCAGCCCCCCTCACCCCTCCACCATCCACATCCAAAACCGGAGAACTCCTCAGGGTGAAGAATACCATCGTGGAAAGAAAGCCCCAAGAATCCGGGGAAGCCGTCCTGGTCTGTCTCCCAGGCTCCAGGGTGCAGAGTGATATCAACCTGAGGCCCGTGGTTGCCTTCCAGGGTGCCAAGAACATTGAGAGCCCCTCCCGGAGGGGGCTGCCCAGCCAGGGAGAGCACAGAGCACCCTTCATCCTCCCAGAGTGGCTGCCTCCACTCAGCAGACTGAAAAGATGGGTGGACTCTGCCAGTTTCCTCTCACCTCCCATTCATCTCCTCCTCCTTTCTCTCTCAGTCGCCGGCTGGGTCCTAGGGTGTTAGCCCTCAATCCAGAGGGCTCTGACTCTTAACCCATCCAATAAGGAGTCTGGGAGATGCCTCTGCCAGGAAGGAGCCACCTCAATCCGGTCCCCACCCCACCCTATACCAAGAATTGGTGTTTGGGCCAAACAGCCTGGGGCATTCAGAGACTCAGAAGTCTTCACCAAGGGTCTGCTCAGGAATGTCCCTCTGGAATGCGCCCCACCCCCCATCAGCACTCCCTGTCCCAGCCACACTTGAAGGCACATGGTTGGTGATGGTGGTGGTGTGGGAGGTGGGGATCCAGGCCACAAAACCCTGTTTGTACACATTCTGGTGCTTTAGGATCAAGAGCGGGAGCTTAAGTGATGAGGTCTACCCGGGTGTAAAACTGCGGTGGGGGGGGGGGTTGAAAAGGACACAGGAAAAGCCAGGAGGGTGGGGGTGGGGTCTTCAAGCCATGCTGCCAGGAATCCAGCGGTGTGGTAGTCTAAAATTCCAAACTTTCCCGCTGATAGATCCAGAGCCTTCCCCTTCCCACTCTAGCCCCCGCTACTAAGGTCTACACTCGCGCTTCCTCGGACGTCTTAACAGAAAGGGCAAGGAGGCCAGTCACTTTTCGTCAAAGTTCCCCTGTCCACAGAAACCTGCCCCTTCCCTTCCACAGCATCGGGCAGCGGAGAGGAATCTGTGCCTCCTGGAGGCAGGCGGGTCGAGGGACACTCCCGCCGCGGACTCCTTTCTCTTGCTGTCCACCCGGAGCCGCAGCTCCTGGCTTCCTCCGCCCCCAGTCCCCAGCTGGCTTGGGTTTGGAAACTTTCCGCGACCCAACGGAGTTGGCGCGGCGTCCCCCGCCTCCCGGGTGTCCACCCCAGCGCCTCTGCCC